GTATATTAGAGGAAGAATGACACGGGTGTTACTATGGACTGAAATTCCAAAGGTTTGGGGACAATATTTAATATCAAATTAATGGTTTTGTCAAAGACCGCCGAAATCATCAATTTGTATGCACATCATCAATACGTGCACCACAATTAAGATTGGAAGAACATTTACTAGGTATTCTTTCGATAGATTTAGAGGGGTTTGTTGAAGGGTATTGTATCCTAGAGGAAAAGATTATCATAGGCAAGCATCTAAGTGGACATGTTAGTACTTTGTAGCCAGAGAAAGTGATTTTGGTTTCGGAGAAATAATGAGGAAAGACAGATTATTCTGGATTTCTCTATGTTTTATGATTTCAATATTTTAAATACTTAGTGAGCGTAAGAAACATCAGTTTAAGGTCACAAACTGATTTCCTTTAGGCTACTCGTATTAGTTACAGAGTTTGTAAGGATTACAAGATGCTTCCAAAAATAATAATGTAATGCAATGCAACACAGTTACTGATCATTGATGTTTGTTTTAAGGGACAAGTTTATCTTGGTATCAAATTCTGGCAGATTAAGGGAGTTAAATTTGACTCTCATGGATAAATTATTATAACAAGGTTTTTAGGATTTACGAGGTAGTTTAGTCTTATTTTTTATGACATATCTAAGAGGATTAGAAAGGTTTTCGATAAATCCTGAGTTTTCTCTTGAGAGATGATAAATCTCTGTGATTGAATATAAGTGTTTGAGTATATCGATTAAGACGAGTCTAGAGTTTGTTAATTTAAAATCACTGTACTTATGTGTCTTAAACTTAATTTTTGTTTTCTGTTGTGAGAGTTGATGTAAAGGTACAAGGCAAATATGAGAGTTTTACATAGTTTTTCTTGACTTTATATGATCAAGTATGGAGAAGTATTGCGGAAGAATCTAGAAAATAAAGCTGTTACTTATATTAGAACTGTGTAAGATATGTATGATGAGTGAACTACTTAAAGAAAGGTTTTACTTATAATTGAACCGTGTGAGGTATGTATGATGGGAGTGAACAACTAGCTTGAAAATTTCAGGATGCGCGAGACTTATGATTTTACCAAAAGAATAGGATTACATCAAAATTCAGCCTTACGGCCTTTGCATGTATTTTTGAGAAATCAAATAAACAACTGACTGTAATTTTATTATTGTTTCTAATTGGTCTGGGGCTCTTTTACCTTTGGTAAATCATACAATTATCTCATGGACAGTTAGTTACACCCACAAATAATATAAATACTACGTCAGTTGCATGTTTGTGAGAGTGTTTTATAAAAATGGATTAGCTTATTTTACTAAATACATCCAACCAACTTCAATCCTTTCTGCCTATTGACAACTTAGGTTTTGACTTTTCGGAAATGTTCTTGCTCATGAATCAGTAGGTGTTGTTCTTGTTTCTTTTGTACCTTTAGTATTTCCTATATGTGTCATGTTCCTTCGATTATTCACAAGTGCAAATCAATCTTTAATTTCTGCTACTTTAGCTTCGGCTGGGGATCAAAACTGTTTCATTCACCAAAAATATGCAATAGGGAGGACAATCTTTTTATAGGTTGCTCAACACATTTCATCCTTACGTCGTTGTTTAATTTAGTGTTGTATGAACAAAACAAGATTCTTTCAACTAAGTCTCATGGGGTTATGTGATCTATATATTTTAAAATCTAATCTCATTTAGTGAGATAGCATTTTTGTTCTGATATTTATTCTAAAGTTATCTAATAATTGCTGATAGATCCTAAACTTTTATATTATTTCCAAACACGGTCCATAAACTATTTAATAATACCACGACTGAACCCTGAAGGATTTCATTATTACATTTTAACATGGGAGTTTGAATGACTAAAGTACCCTTGCCTGGTATATTACGGAATTGTTGAAATTTAACAAAAGTAGGTTCAATTGGATAGTACGGGAGAAGGATGTTAAGGCTTGATGCATTAAAACCTAATTTGCCCTCTTTCTTGAATGCCAGATTTGATTGAGTCTCGAATGCTGACACTGTTTGACAAAGCTTCATCTCTCGTTCTTGCAAATATCAAAGTGGATTCATTGGATGATCTTGGGGAACTCGAGGTACAATTTTACAGAATACCTTGTTAGATTGGATTTGAAGAATAACATTTTGCTACCTGTTTTTCACTCTTTCCAAAAAAGTTGACATGTACAAAACCATTGTCTTTCACTTAAAGTTTTTTTTTTTTTTCATCCTTCGTCTGTCACGGCCACCCCTTCAGCTTTTAAGCTGAATTACTGTCTTAATTTTATGACCAGTGCTGTATTGATCACTCTGCACGATAAAATGTGCCGTTATGCTCCATTTCATTATTATTCTACAGTGGTTATGTCGAATTCTGCTTTTACCTATATCTTTTGTCATGTCTTTTTCTATTTATATTGTCTTTAGAGTGACATTTGAAAACGAAGATTGATATGAATGCCATTGTGAATCTACATGTCCTGGCCTTTATCACAATTTATTTTCTGTTGCAAATATGCTGAATGTTCAACATTCCCTGAGTTTATTACTCTCTCTTACGGGATTATCTGCAATGTATGTTATAGGTATACCCTTCTCATATTCCAGATCTTTCATCAGAAGGTCCACTGATTTTATCTGGAAGATACAGGGGAAATTTCCCTAAAACTCTTAAAGTCGAAGGTATTTTGGCTGATTTCAGTAATTTTGTAGTAGATATGAAGATACAAAATGCTAAGGACATGCCTCTACAAAGGGTAAAGTAGTCTTCTGTCTGGCATACTTGCAATCCAAGTTTTATTGTATATAAATTGCGACTGACAATATCCTAGAGGAGGCTCTAAGTTTTGTTTGTCGGTGATGCTGAGCTATTTAGTGCTTACATTACATGAACAAGCTCTTTTGAAAAATCTGTTTTTCAAATAGCAAACTAGTTCGGTCAAATTTATCATAATTGTAGTAAGATTTGTTGAAATGGGTACATACAGAATCATGGTTTATTTTGTCTCTTTTGTTTAGTATGTCAGTGAACGTAAATATATGCAGCTTCATCTTATTCTTTCAGTCAGTGAACGTAAATTAATATATTAATGTCCACAACTTCACATTTGTGTTTCATTTTATTTATTATTATTATTATTATTCATTTATATGGCTCTATTTTCTTTCTTATCAGGTTTGTGCTAGAGATCAAATTGAACATCTTACCGCTCAAGCATGGTTTTTGGAAAATAAACAGCTAGAACAGAAGGTTTGTTAATACTGCATGCCATCACTCCACTCAATGTGTAGGGGATTTTTTGTTTCTTTTATTGTTGAATAAATTGTCGTATTCATCTTCATTAACTTTGCAGGTTGCAAAACTGAGCCTGCAGACGGGCTTTATCTCCGAGTATACACGAATGGTTTTACTTGAGACCGATCATCTAAAGAAAGTCAAGGAATCAGCCGGCACGAAAGAAGTATGTATACCATCACTCCACTCATCTTTTTCAATAAAGCAGATACTAAATAACGGTTTCATTTAAACGTCCTTCGGTAATTAGAACCATGCCTGTTCATTATGGTTTGTTTATATATTTTGCAATCAAACATGGATAAAATCTGACGTAGAAACTGTTCAATTGATGTTTGTTTTTTCATCGATCGCAAACAGGCGTCAAAAAAGAGCAATGGTCGGTTTGAGACAGGCGTCCAAGGGCAGAGAATGATTTTACTACCACATTTGGGTATCGGCTTTGGCAACTTAAGTGCAACTGTTGAAAATACTCCTCCCGGATATAAATCGAAATTGCCTGAAGTTCCTGAAATCTTCAAGGCGGCCACAAATTGTTGTGAAACGTTGTTAAGTTACTGCTGCTGCATGTGCTGCATCCAGTGCTGTGCTCGGTTAAACAACCAATGTGCAACTGCATTGACACAACTCTGCATTGGTCTAGGATGCTTTGGCTGCATCACTTGTTGTTCAGAGATATGCTGTTCTGGAAATGAAGGCTAGAATCTCTATTTTGTTGTATGATTTTTGTATTCTACTACTGCATATAGAATTCACTGTTTATATAGTTGTCAGTTGGGGAATGTATATCAGCAGGTCATACTTGTTATATTGTATAGTTTTTTCTGATTATAGTCCTGCAAGTTTAAATTTGCAATAGATATCAAATCAAATTATACCATTCTATCAACAAAGAAGAAAGGGACCTATACCAAGTTTTTTCTGCCGATTTCTATTGCTCTAATTTATTTTTAAAACAACTTTAAGCTTTTTTTGGCAAGCCACCTCGCCTAGGTTTGTAAGTTTTTAATCGGATCACTTGCTGAGGAATTCCAGTCTTAGGAATTCATTATTAACATAGTAATTTATAATTAAAATTAGTTTTAATTTGAATAATTGTATTCAAAAGTAATTTTAAGATAGTTTTATTGAGATAAATTAAGAAAAGCAGATCATATAATAGATTGCAGAAAAGTTTTACAAAGCTATTGAGAAAAAATAAGCTTTAAACGTACATATACATAAAATTATTTTAAAAAAAAAAGCTTAAATATACATTTGATACTTCTCAAACAATTTTAAAAGAAAACAGCCAAATGTCTTAATCAGGCTATCATTAAGCATGTTTATTTTAAAAAAATGTTGTAATCAATATTTTACATTATCTCATTTCTTTTAAATTGATGGAAAAAATTTAAGTTACTACTTCTATAAGAAAGATTGTTGAAAACATCAAAAGAATTAGAGATTTCGTATATTTGCATAATAGGAAAATTTAAAGATTTGGTTGAAAATATATATATATATATAATAATAATCCTATATTAATCTTACGTTTTCAATTTTTCTCAGCTCTCAGTATGTATACCTTGAGGCGGCAAGAAAGATAGAACGATTTAAAAAAAATTGTATTTATAAAACTCAAATTCCCCTTTTCTTTTCACTTTTTCATCGACAAAACCTAAAAAAAAAATGTCATACGTGATTTCTTTCCTCCTAAATTTTTCACGCCAATCCAAACACATTAAATATTATAGTTTGTCGTTTTACATACCTAATAACTAGCTGTAATAAATGGAAATATCTGCTTTTGTCCACCAATTGAACAAAATACATAATAGTTAGAACCAATCTTTGCTTGCTTGTACTCTTCTTCTCTCGAAATTGTACAATATCATTAAGGTAAAAGGGGTTGCATGCAAGCAAAGAACAATAAAAATCAACATTAACTCTTGCATGGGTGAAGAGGATGAAGATCAAACCTGGTTGTGATTCAGCAAAAGTCCTCTCCCAATTCAACCATTGTAGATAATTGTGGACAAACATTTTACCAAAGTAACTTTTAACTCCCAGCATTGCTTTGCTACTACTTTTTTACAAGTCCTTCTTCTTTATTTTCATAATCTTACCCATTCTATGATACAAGTATTTACAAGATACAAGAATTTGCATGACAAGCCACCAACCACACACTAATATCTTTCCTATTACTGGTATTCTACAAATCAAAAGCCCCACATATCCTACCAAACAAAATAACCATATGATTATGAAGAAAAGTAGATGAAGAACCAAGATCAAACTCCAGAAGCACGTCTTCGGAATGCGGAAAGCATCGTCCTCAACCCTTATATTCCCATACGGTGTTATCTTGAACTTAGTTGCAGATCCAAACATTGACAATTTCCCCAAAGCTATTAGTCTTCTGAAGATTAATGTCTCAAATAAATACTCTGGAGAAACCGATTCATCGGTTCGAACAATAGATGCCTTCATTTTGCCGTAAGATTTATTAAACCCCATACCATCTTGCTCAATCCTCATCATTAATTCTTCCAATTCAGGATCGTAGTATCCTTCCTCCAAGGATTCCTCGTAGCCAAAGCCCAAAGCTTCATCCATGGCTGGATCCAAGCATTTCAATAAAACAATGGTTATCCTCAAGTTTTCAAACCACGAACCTGAGCTGGAGGCGGCTTTGTTGCTTGCCGAAAATTCCAATGAAAGTTGGATATACTTCCTCAACACTGCTTTGTAAAATGGATCTCCCACTTTTAATTGCAACACTCCCCAAAAGCGTCGATATTTAGATCCTCCTCCGTCAGTGTACTCTAGAAGAATAGGCATACCCATGTCCAACCCGTTTTCCTTCATTACTTCTACCCGTGCCCTCAATAATCTTTCTACAAATCCACCAAACGATTGCATTTCTTCAGGATTTGAATCAGAAAAATGTTTGGGTACATTCTCCTTTATCATCTCTAAAACCTGTACCACATCGTCAACAGATTCTTCGTGTTCTTGCTTTAAACTTGCCCCGTAGACTGAAATTGAAGCTTCCTCGGTAATCTCAGCCTTAGCATTCCTCCAGGTTCTCAAAAGTACTTTTCCAGCCCTGCTTGGACCTTCTTCTGACTCTATTAGAGACAGATTCTTGTTAAACATGTCTCGTGGATCAAAACTTTCCAGCATATGTTTCATTTTCTGCTTTGGACAACCTTTTGGAACCAAAAGTGATGATGGAATTAAGTTCCTCCTGGAGCTGGGAGTGGGAAACCTGAATTGGATATCATCCGTGTTTGTTTCTTGCTCGTACACATTAACTCCCCAATGACTCAGAATCAGGTCTGATTCGTATTGAACCTGAATGGCCTTCCAATCATCTCCAAGACTTGCGTCAAGGCCCTGCCACTCTTCATCCCTGAACAAGACTCGCAGATCACAAAATAACACATGATCTTCTCCAACGTTGAAACAGTGGTAATCTCTACCACATATTTCTTGTCCGTCAATAAACAAGTGGAGGCTTACAGTGTGCCAGTTCACAAATCCAGTGAACGATTCTACAGCTGACTGGAAAGCATGTTCAAAATCAGACAGTTTCTTTTTCGATTCCTGGAAAACTAATGCTAAAGCAACAACAGGAAACTTTCTGCGAGCCCAGAAATGTGGAATCTCTTTAGTGCCTATGCAGTCAAACCATTCAGGTATTTCTCTTTTCAGCATCGGCATTACAACTTGTATTCTTTGAATCTCTTCTGAGACCTGTCACAACGAAAGACATTAGTGTGTTTGCATCAACATACCATTTTTATGGAATTACAGTTTCTTGCGTCATAAGAATAATGGTACGGTGAATGTAATTAAACCTTAGACCATAGCATGCTTGATGCCTCTGAAGTCAAGGACTGACAGTATCTTGCATCTACTTTCTGAATACTTAAGGGAAGTTCTGGAATTTCCTTAAGATTCCTGCAGAAACTAACATCCAAACTTTTCAAGTGAGAAGATCCTCCGATGATGTTTGGTAGGGCTACAAATCCGTTGTGTGATACATTTAAGTCTTCTAATTTTGGAAAAGTTTCAAGAATGGCACAAAGATCTTCATATGATGGATTAGTCTCACAAAAATGAAGTGTCACTAAATTTGAACTGCCATTTTCCACGGAATGGCGGCTCTTTTGGAACCTTTGAAATGATTCTCCAAGTTGAGAGCATTCATCAACTTTTAAAGTGACAAGTTTTGGGAGCAAAAAGAAGCTACTTGGCAGATTTTTAAGCTCTTTGCAAACTGACATGTCTATATGCTCAAGTCCAGTAAGGTTACCAATGGATTCCGGAATCTTTTTAATGGCAGTACTCATCATGTATATCTTTAATGGCTTATCCATTTTTTGCATTACATGAGGGAAGTGTTCAAGTCTTCTGCAAAAGTTAAATGAAAGCACTTCGAGAGAGGGCAAATACATCGTTGGCACAAAACTTGTGAGCAGAGTGCACTCTGAAGCACTTAAGTACACAAGGTTAGGCATAAACCCAATGGATTTATCGAACCTTGTCAGTCTATAGCATTTATCAAGTGTAAATACCTTCAAGCTTTTAGCTCCAGACAGGTCAGGAATTTGAGTTATGAATTGACAATGGGAAAGATTGATGAATGTCAGATCCTCAAATCTCTGCGAAACAAAGTATAACTAAAGTGATTAGAGCATAGTCCTTACATTAGGCTTTAAATCATGACAGTTTTGCCACATGCTTCGGGGGGATATAAGGAGAAAGCAAATGTGTGTACCTGAAATGGCTTTTTAAATATCAGAGAACTATGAGGTAACTTGAAGTCAACAATTCTGTGGGGATAAAATTCTGGCGGAAAAGACTTTGATGGGTACCCCTTCCAATCGATTAGCCGTAAACTATTTGGCAGATAACTAGGACCAGACGAAAATATTGCATTGCGAACAATCAAAATTCTGAGGTTCTTCATCTTCTTGAAGGCTGTCATAGTCCAATAATCTATTTTTTCTTGTTTTGGGGGATAAAGCATTATTCCTTCAACTGTATCACTTCCCTGTGGAAATGCGTGTAAATGAAAAGAATTAACATAAAATACATTTGCAGCTGATAAAAACACACACAAAATACATTTGCCAAAGTACACAAACATGTAAAGGTAACTAAAAATATAAGATGGTCAAGATTCTCACTGAGTTTTCTTTAAGTACTTCATGAACATCTTTATGACACCATAANTTAGAACCATGCCTGTTCATTATGGTTTGTTTATATATTTTGCAATCAAACATGGATAAAATCTGACGTAGAAACTGTTCAATTGATGTTTGTTTTTTCATCGATCGCAAACAGGCGTCAAAAAAGAGCAATGGTCGGTTTGAGACAGGCGTCCAAGGGCAGAGAATGATTTTACTACCACATTTGGGTATCGGCTTTGGCAACTTAAGTGCAACTGTTGAAAATACTCCTCCCGGATATAAATCGAAATTGCCTGAAGTTCCTGAAATCTTCAAGGCGGCCACAAATTGTTGTGAAACGTTGTTAAGTTACTGCTGCTGCATGTGCTGCATCCAGTGCTGTGCTCGGTTAAACAACCAATGTGCAACTGCATTGACACAACTCTGCATTGGTCTAGGATGCTTTGGCTGCATCACTTGTTGTTCAGAGATATGCTGTTCTGGAAATGAAGGCTAGAATCTCTATTTTGTTGTATGATTTTTGTATTCTACTACTGCATATAGAATTCACTGTTTATATAGTTGTCAGTTGGGGAATGTATATCAGCAGGTCATACTTGTTATATTGTATAGTTTTTTCTGATTATAGTCCTGCAAGTTTAAATTTGCAATAGATATCAAATCAAATTATACCATTCTATCAACAAAGAAGAAAGGGACCTATACCAAGTTTTTTCTGCCGATTTCTATTGCTCTAATTTATTTTTAAAACAACTTTAAGCTTTTTTTGGCAAGCCACCTCGCCTAGGTTTGTAAGTTTTTAATCGGATCACTTGCTGAGGAATTCCAGTCTTAGGAATTCATTATTAACATAGTAATTTATAATTAAAATTAGTTTTAATTTGAATAATTGTATTCAAAAGTAATTTTAAGATAGTTTTATTGAGATAAATTAAGAAAAGCAGATCATATAATAGATTGCAGAAAAGTTTTACAAAGCTATTGAGAAAAAATAAGCTTTAAACGTACATATACATAAAATTATTTAAAAAAAAAAAGCTTAAATATACATTTGATACTTCTCAAACAATTTTAAAAGAAAACAGCCAAATGTCTTAATCAGGCTATCATTAAGCATGTTTATTTTAAAAAAATGTTGTAATCAATATTTTACATTATCTCATTTCTTTTAAATTGATGGAAAAAATTTAAGTTACTACTTCTATAAGAAAGATTGTTGAAAACATCAAAAGAATTAGAGATTTCGTATATTTGCATAATAGGAAAATTTAAAGATTTGGTTGAAAATATATATATATATATAATAATAATCCTATATTAATCTTACGTTTTCAATTTTTCTCAGCTCTCAGTATGTATACCTTGAGGCGGCAAGAAAGATAGAACGATTTAAAAAAAATTGTATTTATAAAACTCAAATTCCCCTTTTCTTTTCACTTTTTCATCGACAAAACCTAAAAAAAAAATGTCATACGTGATTTCTTTCCTCCTAAATTTTTCACGCCAATCCAAACACATTAAATATTATAGTTTGTCGTTTTACATACCTAATAACTAGCTGTAATAAATGGAAATATCTGCTTTTGTCCACCAATTGAACAAAATACATAATAGTCAGAACCAATCTTTGCTTGCTTGTACTCTTCCTCTCTCGAAATTGTACAATTTCATTAAGGTAAAAGGGGTTGCATGCAAGCAAAGAACAATAAAAATCAACATTAACTCTTGCATGGGTGAAGAGGATGAAGATCAAACCTGGTTGTGATTCAGCAAAAGTCCTCTCCCAATTCAACCATTGTAGATAATTGTGGACAAACATTTTACCAAAGTAACTTTTAACTCCCAGCATTGCTTTGCTACTACTTTTTTACAAGTCCTTCTTCTTTATTTTCATAATCTTACCCATTCTATGATACAAGTATTTACAAGATACAAGAATTTGCATGACAAGCCACCAACCACACACTAATATCTTTCCTATTACTGGTATTCTACAAATCAAAAGCCCCACATATCCTACCAAACAAAATAACCATATGATTATGAAGAAAAGTAGATGAAGAACCAAGATCAAACTCCAGAAGCACGTCTTCGGAATGCGGAAAGCATCGTCCTCAACCCTTATATTCCCATACGGTGTTATCTTGAACTTAGTTGCAGATCCAAACATTGACAATTTCCCCAAAGCTATTAGTCTTCTGAAGATTAATGTCTCAAATAAATACTCTGGAGAAACCGATTCATCGGTTCGAACAATAGATGCCTTCATTTTGCCGTAAGATTTATTAAACCCCATACCATCTTGCTCAATCCTCATCATTAATTCTTCCAATTCAGGATCGTAGTATCCTTCCTCCAAGGATTCCTCGTAGCCAAAGCCCAAAGCTTCATCCATGGCTGGATCCAAGCATTTCAATAAAACAATGGTTATCCTCAAGTTTTCAAACCACGAACCTGAGCTGGAGGCGGCTTTGTTGCTTGCCGAAAATTCCAATGAAAGTTGGATATACTTCCTCAACACTGCTTTGTAAAATGGATCTCCCACTTTTAATTGCAACACTCCCCAAAAGCGTCGATATTTAGATCCTCCTCCGTCAGTGTACTCTAGAAGAATAGGCATACCCATGTCCAACCCGTTTTCCTTCATTACTTCTACCCGTGCCCTCAATAATCTTTCTACAAATCCACCAAACGATTGCATTTCTTCAGGATTTGAATCAGAAAAATGTTTGGGTACATTCTCCTTTATCATCTCTAAAACCTGTACCACATCGTCAACAGATTCTTCGTGTTCTTGCTTTAAACTTGCCCCGTAGACTGAAATTGAAGCTTCCTCGGTAATCTCAGCCTTAGCATTCCTCCAGGTTCTCAAAAGTACTTTTCCAGCCCTGCTTGGACCTTCTTCTGACTCTATTAGAGACAGATTCTTGTTAAACATGTCTCGTGGATCAAAACTTTCCAGCATATGTTTCATTTTCTGCTTTGGACAACCTTTTGGAACCAAAAGTGATGATGGAATTAAGTTCCTCCTGGAGCTGGGAGTGGGAAACCTGAATTGGATATCATCCGTGTTTGTTTCTTGCTCGTACACATTAACTCCCCAATGACTCAGAATCAGGTCTGATTCGTATTGAACCTGAATGGCCTTCCAATCATCTCCAAGACTTGCGTCAAGGCCCTGCCACTCTTCATCCCTGAACAAGACTCGCAGATCACAAAATAACACATGATCTTCTCCAACGTTGAAACAGTGGTAATCTCTACCACATATTTCTTGTCCGTCAATAAACAAGTGGAGGCTTACAGTGTGCCAGTTCACAAATCCAGTGAACGATTCTACAGCTGACTGGAAAGCATGTTCAAAATCAGACAGTTTCTTTTTCGATTCCTGGAAAACTAATGCTAAAGCAACAACAGGAAACTTTCTGCGAGCCCAGAAATGTGGAATCTCTTTAGTGCCTATGCAGTCAAACCATTCAGGTATTTCTCTTTTCAGCATCGGCATTACAACTTGTATTCTTTGAATCTCTTCTGAGACCTGTCACAACGAAAGACATTAGTGTGTTTGCATCAACATACCATTTTTATGGAATTACAGTGTCTTGCGTCATAAGAATAATGGTACGGTGAATGTAATTAAACCTTAGACCATAGCATGCTTGATGCCTCTGAAGTCAAGGACTGACAGTATCTTGCATCTACTTTCTGAATACTTAAGGGAAGTTCTGGAATTTCCTTAAGATTCCTGCAGAAACTAACATCCAAACTTTTCAAGTGAGAAGATCCTCCGATGATGTTTGGTAGGGCTACAAATCCGTTGTGTGATACATTTAAGTCTTCTAATTTTGGAAAAGTTTCAAGAATGGCACAAAGATCTTCATATGATGGATTAGTCTCACAAAAATGAAGTGTCACTAAATTTGAACTGCCATTTACCACGGAATGGCGGCTCTTTTGGAACCTTTGAAATGATTCTCCAAGTTGAGAGCATTCATCAACTTTTAAAGTGACAAGTTTTGGGAGCAAAAAGAAGCTACTTGGCAGATTTTTAAGCTCTTTGCAAACTGACATGTCTATATGCTCAAGTCCAGTAAGGTTACCAATGGATTCCGGAATCTTTTTAATGGCAGTACTCATCATGTATATCTTTAATGGCTTATCCATTTTTTGCATTACATGAGGGAAGTGTTCAAGTCTTCTGCAAAAGTTAAATGAAAGCACTTCGAGAGAGGGCAAATACATCGTTGGCACAAAACTTGTGAGCAGAGTGCACTCTGAAGCACTTAAGTACACAAGGTTAGGCATAAACCCAATGGATTTATCGAACCTTGTCAGTCTATAGCATTTATCAAGTGTAAATACCTTCAAGCTTTTAGCTCCAGACAGGTCAGGAATTTGAGTTATGAATTGACAATGGGAAAGATTGATGAATGTCAGATCCTCAAATCTCTGCGAAACAAAGTATAACTAAAGTGATTAGAGCATAGTCCTTACATTAGGCTTTAAATCATGACAGTTTTGCCACATGCTTCGGGGGGATATAAGGAGAAAGCAAATGTGTGTACCTGAAATGGCTTTTTAAATATCAGAGAACTATGAGGTAACTTGAAGTCAACAATTCTGTGGGGATAAAAATCTGGCGGAAAAGACTTTGATGGGTACCCCTTCCAATCGATTAGCCGTAAACTATTTGGCAGATAACTAGGACCAGACGAAAATATTGCATTGCGAACAATCAAAATTCTGAGGTTCTTCATCTTCTTGAAGGCTGTCATAGTCCAATAATCTATTTTTTCTTGTTTTGGGGGATAAAGCATTATTCCTTCAACTGTATCACTTCCCTGTGGAAATGCGTGTAAATGAAAAGAATTAACATAAAATACATTTGCAGCTGATAAAAAAACACACACAAAATACATTTGCCAAAGTACACAAACATGTAAAGGTAACTAAAAATATAAGATGGTCAAGATTCTCACTGAGTTTTCTTTAAGTACTTCATGAACATCTTTATGACACCATAATCTGCTGCGGTAACCAGGGTTTGATGGGGATTCCTTCCGAACAATCTCTCTACCCATTTCTTGTATTAGATCATGCATTTCCAAGCAACCGTTTTCATCAACAGTTATGAGACATTTACTAACAAATACTTTTATATCCGGGTTGAAATCACAAGCATCTAGTATCCTTTTGACATAATCCCACCTTTCCCCTTTGAAGAAACATGCAATGTCCAGGAAAATTTTCTGGTCCAAGTTGGATAGGCTTGTGTAGCTTATTTCCAGTACACCTTGAATCTCTGAATCTGGAACCTTTCTATATTTCTGTAATTCAGTCTCGCATTCTTCAGGACCTCTACCCTTCAAATTGGAGCCTATTACTCTTAATGCCAACGGAATACCCTTTGCATATCTTACTGCACTAGTAGAGATGTTAGCAAAGTTTTCTGCAGCTCTGCTCCTATTAAAGGCATACCAACAAAAGAGTTCAAGGGATTCCTGATAATTTAGCTCCTCCATTTTATATCCTTTAATTTCAACATCATGCTTATGTAGAACATCTTTATCTCTTGTTGTTATAATGATCCTGCTACCAGGACCAAACCAATCATATCCTCCAGCTAATGCTTCCAATTGTTTTACAGAATCAACATCATCCACAATCAGAAGAACTCTTTTATGTCCAAGCCTGCACTTTATTTCAGAACTTCCTTTAAATGTACTGCCAATAATGGTTTCTGTCTCTTCACCCATCTCAGACAAAAGTGTCCTTTGGAGATCTTCCAGGCCCTTAATGCTTTTATTTGTTTTTTCTCTGACATTAGCCAGAAAACTTGCAGCTTCAAAATGATGCCTGATCTTGTTATACAGATCCACAGCAAATGTGGTTTTGCCAATTCCGCCAACCCCATAGATCCCCAGTATACAAACTTCATCATTTGATTCAACATCTATTAGAGATTTCACCCGTTCGAAACGAGAATCAAGTCCAACTAGGTGCTTGATTTGTAAAGGCATGGGAGGCAGTTTAGCTGAGGTGTCTTTCACAATCTTCTCAATAACCTCAGTTTCATACCTGCATAGACACACAATACTTATGCCTATTCATTTTATAATAAACGGCAAAAGAAAGTTGTAATAACTAATTAAAATCTTAGACTCCAATTGGAAACACAGAACAGAAACTAACTTAGAACTAACAAATGAAAATGTTCTACTTACCAGATTACTCCATTAATACTAGAATAAATAATATATATACTTTTTAACATTCTCATGCAATAAAAAACAATTATCCATGGTAAATTTGTTGACTTATGTAATAAGTATCTTAAAAGCTACAAGAGTTGAACAAAAACAAGTCATATCCCAATTAAACTAATAATAATGATAATTATAGTCAAGTTGAATTACTTATTTGTGTGGGGATAAACTTAAATTTTAGGGTTTTATTAATAATTTTGTTTAAATCTTATTTTATTAGTTTTGGGTTTAGTAATATTTGGTTTGATTTTGATAGAGATAAAATAGATATAGGTAGTTTTGATTTTCCTTTTATTTAGGAGAGTATTATTTTATTTTATTGATATAAGACAGAGATAGATTAAGTAGATTTTATTTTAAGTTAGTTGATATTCTATTGTTAGTTTTTATTTGTATTTGGCTCAAGGCCCTATTTGCACCTATGTAAAGGTTGTCAAGGTTCAATGAAAAGTAACTCCAGTGAATTGAAGAGTATTATTATTTGGGTCACGTTTTTTCCAACAGTGGTATCAGAGCTTTATGCTTTGAGTACCGAGAGAGAAAGAGAGAGGAGAGAGTCAAACACTGCGAGAGAAAAAATGAGTGCTTGATTTTTTTTAAGAGAGATGACAAAGGTTGTCAATGGTATGAGTGTGCCACAATTGACGAGAAAAACCAATTATGATAATTGGGGCCTACAGATGAAGGCGTTATTGAGATCCCAAGACGGGTATGTTGAACCTGATGAGGATGAACATCAGACAGTAGCACAGATGACAGCGTTGAAGAAAACTCGTGCAAGAGACGGGTCATCATTGTATTTTATCTACAATGCAGTAGATGAGTCGGGATTCGAAAAAATAGCGAATGCCAAATCAAAAAAAGAAGCCTGGGAGATATTGGAGGTCCGTATAAATGTGACAACCGCGTTAGACAAGTCCGAATACAATCTCTTAGAGGAGAGTTTGAACAGTTGAAGATGGAGCCCAAAGAGTATATAATCGAGTACATAACTCGGGTGGAGAAGATGGCCAACCAACTCGGTAGGAATGGAGAACAAATGCTATCTAGCCGAGTTGTGGGAAAATTTTTGAGATCTCTTACAAAAGATTTCGAAAGTATCGTCTACGCCATCGAAGAATCGAAGGACTTGTCGGTTCTCACAATGGATGAACTTGTTGGGTCATTAGAAGCCCACGAACAAAGGGAAAGGAGTTGGGATGATCAGGTTGAACCCCACGACCAAACACTATAGGTACAGTTTGACTCGAATAAAACTCGGATTACTCAGAGCCGAGGTCCTGGAGGTAGAGGGCGAGGAAGCTGAGGACGAGGTGGGCGTGGCAGAGGTAATTTTGAGAATGATGAAGAGCAAACCGGTCAGCAGAATTGGCATGACCGAGGACAAGGGAGAGGCCGAGGAGATCGGTCAAGAGTGGAGTGTTTTAAGTGTGGCAAGTACGACCACTGTGCAAATGAGTGTAGATCAAACAAGTGCTATAATTGTGGCAAGGCTGGCCATATTGCAGAGTATTGCAAGACCGAGATAAAGGGGGAGACTAATTTCGTTACTGAAGATGCAGAAGAACTATTGCTGGTAAAGAGCTCGGATGTAGTGGACATGGAGGGCCCAATCCCAATAATGGATGAAGTGATCTTGGTAAAGGATGCAACAATTGTAGAGAAGAAAAGCCTAGAGAAAGAACTCAAACAAAAAATAAAGAGATTCAGCGGATAATGAGGCTTCTAGATGAAGAGAGGTTTGAACTT